TAGTTGACACATATAAGTATTTGTATAGATAGATATTCAAATTTTACATAAATAATTCAGTGTTAAATAATTTATTATTATTTTTAGTTATTAAAATCTACTCTGGTTACACTTTATTTTTTCCTTACATAAATTTTTATCATAAATGCATCACTTTTATTAGCAAACTCATCTATATTAGTCTTGTAATATACTTTTAAAGCACCATGTTCCATATTGCCTTAAAAAATAAAAAAATAATAATAAAAAGAACAGCACCATATTCCATATTTGATAAAAAAAAAAAAAAAAAAAAAAAAAAAAAAAAAAAAAAAAAATCCTTAAGCCTTAGATTAAGACTTTGAAAATTCCAATTCCTTATATAAGGCTTATTCACCAATGATGGTCTAAAATTATACTTATGAAAAGAAAATAATGAAAGCAACAAGACAACCATTAATTTGTTCAGTTATAGTTTTTTTTTCCCCCACAAGTCTTCTTCCTCTTCAAAGTAAAGGTTTGAAAATTAGAGATGAAATTACATATAGAATCCATTTTTTGTGGTGAGAAAGTGGGATCAGCCCAAAAATAAATACAAATAAACAAAAAGAAAATAAACGGCAGCAAAGAAAACAAAAAACAAAACAAACCAAAGCTAAAGTACTAAACAAAATTAAACAACTACGAAAAAACACATTAGTCCCTAACTAGCACCATGCGAGCTCTTGTAGCACCACCCAAATCCTCCAATAAAACCGCACAAAGATCCTTTAGGACTGTCGAGAACATAACAAGAGGTTGATGAGCCGTTACACTAAAATTGGCTAGCCAATCAGCTGCACGTTTGGCCTCACGATAGCAATGTTCGATAGTAACCTCCCATCCCTCACGAGATAAAACCGCACTCTGGCTGCACCCACCTAATCAAGATCTATTCACGCTTTTTCTTCCTTGGCACATGAATTTTATAGTGCCTCTCCCAAGCCCTTTTTACTATAGCCACTTGTGAAATTATGAATGAGACTTGATCAATCGGGATATTAGCTGCATTTCCTTTGATGCTCCTAGCATTCCTTCACTTCCAGATCCACCACAAGGTCATGGAAAACATTAAAGGCTAGCCTTCATCCCCTTTATGTCTCGAGCAGTGCACATTTTTTACTATCCACTCTTGTAAGCCCAGTTCACTCCTCCCTCTATCTCCAACCCCTAACTTGCGCCATACCATCAAAGCAGTAGGACAAAAACGAAGAAGATAGTCAATGTTTTCTTCAATTGCTCCACACAGTTAGCATCTCGGGTCGTCAATCAAATTGTGAATAAATTTATTCTTATTCATAATGATCCTATCTCGAACAACCAGCCATAGGAACATGCGAACTCTTTGCGGGGCTCGCACCTTCCATAAAGCTTTCTAATTAACATTCACTTGCTTGTTCTTTTCCCCACAAATTATTTTCAGAGCACACTTATTTGTGAAACCCCCAAACGGAGCCCCATTTAAACTAATTTCATCCAACATCATCCGAATCATTGCTCAATTCAAAATAAGCTATACTCTTCACGCCTTCTGCCGACAAATAAGCTGTAAAATCATCCCATTTCTAGCCTATATTTTGATCCTAAAGCTCCTTCACCGTAGAATCCTGTTTGTGCAAAGGCGGAACCAGATTGGCTACCTCAATCAAGGGCTTGTTTGTTGCCCACCTATGATGCCAAAAGAAAGTACTAGCACCATTTCCCATAGCCATATTGATGCCCTTTCGGACTACATCTATACTGCTCATGATTCCCCCCCCCCCTAAGCGTTTGAGCAATCTGCTTATCCACAAACATGTCGATGTCATATCTATCATCACAATACTTGTTGCGAAGAGCACAAGACCATAGTGACTTGGGCTCTACAAGAAATTTCCACCCTAATTTTGCAAGGAAGGTAGTGTTCGCTTGTCTCATGGAACGTATTCCCAAACCCCCGTACACTTAGGTTTATTGATGACATCCTACGCCACCATATTCACCTTTCTTTGGCCTTTAACCTCTCCCCACATAAACTTTCTAGCTCTTCTAACAATTTCATCACAAGTGGACCTATGCAATTTAGTCATTTGCATTGCATAAAATGGAACCGAACTTATCGATGATTGAATTAAGGTAGCCCTCTCTACCATCGATAGCATCTTTGAGTTCCATCCTGAAATTATTCCACTAACTCTATCAACAAGATATTGGTATTCTTTTTTAGAGGTTTACCATTATTAATAGACGATACTCCTAGATATATACCAAAGTCCTCCGCTGCCTCCATGCCAAAAGTGTTGCACATCGAGTATCGAAAATCGAAATTAGTGTTATTTGAGAAAAACACTCAAGATTTATCATTGCTTACTTTGCTACCCGACGCATCACAAAACTTCTAAGGCACGCCTTCATTAGCTCTACTTGGTCAACTGTTGCTTCACAAAAGAGAATAAGGTCGTTTGTAAATGCTAAATAGTAATTAGAGGACCATTCCTACTATCACGGGCTGGCTTGCAACACTTAAGGCGGACTTCTCTATCAATCAGATGAGCGAGTCGTTCCATACATATGACATACAAATAAGGAGATAACGGATCCCCTTGTCTTATTCCATGGGTAGCGCTAAATGCGGCATCGGTTCTCCATTCCAAAGAATATTAAGCCTTATCAATGTCACACATCGCTTTATTACTTCCACCATTGGCATCAGAAGACGAAGCTCCATAAGTGATTCTCTAATAAAACTCCAACGGAGCCTATCATAGGCTTTCTCAAAGTCAATCTTAACCGCCATGCACCCCACCCGTCCTTGTTTGTTCCGCATTGTATGCAACATCTGTTGCAAAATAATTATGCTATCTGTGATTTGCCTCTTCGGAACGAAATTACACTAAGTCGAAGAGATAAAGGTTGGTAGAAAACTTTTAAGTCGATTAACAATGACTTTCATCACCAACCTATAAACAATTTTACATAAGCCTATCGGTCAAAATTACTTTGCACTTTGAGGCCCTTCAACTTTGGGAATAAGAACAAAAAAAGCATCATTTAAGCCTTCCGGGAATTCACGGCCCTCAAACACATTTTTTTTACCAACTCATCCACACAAGGCCGTACCAAATCCCAATATTGTTGAAAGAAAATTGGTGGAAATCCATCAGGGCCTAGTGCTTTGAAGGGCTCCATACTTTTCAAGGCCTTGAGAATTTCACACTCTGCTATCGTTTGACTCACCATTTCTCACTCCTCATCACCAATCAAAGGAAAATAATCATGAATTAAATTTTCCTGTTTCATTTCCTTCCTTTCCTCCTGGAAAATATTTTTCCAAAAATTAAGAACCAATTCTTGCACTTGATCAGGCTCTAACAACCATTCTCCTTGTCCATTTTGCAAAGTCTCAATTCTGTTTTGTTTTCTTCTAACCACAGTAGCAAGGTCGAAGTATCTCGAGTTTTTGTCTCCATACACAATAGCTTCAGCCCTTGATTTTTGAAACCACAACATTTCCTCTTGATCAATTTTCACCTCTATCTCTTTTCTCAAAGGAGCTTCAAGTTTCAATAAATGTGGATGTCTTCCTTGAGCAAAATTTGTCTGATTTCCTTCAAATCTTGCTCACAATTCTGAATTTGTGTGAAAGATATTATGAAAACTCTTCTCTGTTCCAACACACAAGCTTTACGGCAAAATCCTTCAAATATGGGACAATCGAAGCAGCCTTGTTCCAGTTGGCATACAAAAATTCTTCAAATTTTTCATGATGCATCCATGAAACCTGGAAATGAATTAGTATCGGTGAAAACTATTGCGTTTACTAACTTACATCGTCTCATTAAAATCACCACCTAGCAGCCACGGACCAGAGTAGTTATTTCGAATGTTCTCTAAAGCACTCCATAAATTTCTTCTCAAAGTACTATCAGAGCTTGCATACACTACCGAAAACAACCATGGGTCATCCCCAATCTTCTTAATTTCTACTGTCATATGCCGCAAATTTTCATCATAGGGGGGTCACAGTTACTTTATCCCTACTCCAAAATAACTAAATACCTCCACTAAATCCTTGAGACTCAATTGTTCTCTGACTTAAGAAGCCAATTCTAGCACAAATATTATCCACCTGTTCTCAGCTCCACTTATGTGAGTCTCAACAAGAGCTACTATCATAGGGTCTTTAATGCGCACAAGTTCTCAAATCAAACTTAGCTTATTTTCGACACCTTGAACATTCCATACTAAAAATTTTAAAGACATAAAAAAATTCTGGAAGAATAGGGAACCTGTCATATACCTCCAAACTGTACAAAGGAACATTGGGAAGAAAACTTAGATATGCATCCCTGATCGTCTTCATCGGGGCATCCGTCTCGATTGGGAGAAGGAACCTTGCCAGCATCTCTGGTGGGTTGTGCTGAAGGGGCAGGAACATATTCACCTCGAAGAACATCTTGTTCGCCAATGGATGGGTACAAACCATTGTGGGTCCCTCGAAGTTTTGAGTTAAATTTGTCAATATTCTTATTGGAAATATTCTAAGCTATCTTTTTATTACAATATTTATTTCCCAACTCAGCCGTCGAGTATCCCTCGGAGTGATCTTTAGTTAAAGACTCATCTCCATTCCCTTGAATAATATTATTCCCCTCCAAATTAGCTCCTCTAATTTCATTCTCCCCTAAATTTACAGCACTCTTGCCAATTATATCATTATCCTTTTCCATCACATCATCCTTTTTCATAATGGTATTATTTCTTTTCCAAATAGGATCTCCCACTTCCATGTCCCCTTAATGATCAAGCACATCAAACCTCAATCCCTGAATCCTAGGCTTTGAAGTCATGGATTTTTCTTTGTTTCCTGAAGTACTTGCTTTTCTACCTGGACCCTTTCCCATCGTATTGCCACCAAGAACTGGTTTGTTGACTTTGTTATCTTGAGCTTGTTTTTTTTATTGATCCAGCTTAGTCTTGGGAATATATTTCCTCTGTGGTCTCTAGACTAGCATCCACGATCCATATCTGACTTTTTCTTCTGGCCGAGCCTTATGAACATGAGATTCTTTAGCCGCACCATCATCAGCTTGCTCTCGAACAATGACCTCCCGTAAGTCACCTCCTAATTTAAACAGGTTGCAGCCATCCTCCTTGTGCCCCAAATGGCCACATTTAAAGCAAATTTGTCGAAGTCCCTCATATTGAATTTTCCCTACATAGCCATTTAATCTAAACTTTGATAGCAAAGGTTTTGACAAATCAACTTCAATGCAAAATCTGATATATTGACCCCTATCCATGGATTCTGTATTCCTATCAATTTTAATAACCCTTCCAATCTTCAATCTAATCTTTAACAAGAACTGCTTATCGATGTATTCCACTGACAGTTGCGGTATACGCACCCACGTATTCAGCTTCTTAATCGGAGCTTCATCTGCTAGAAAATTCGGCTCCCATTTACGGATCTTTAGATAACTGTCTTTAATCATCCATGGTCCTTGAGTTAACACCCAGTCATAATCCTCCATATTGTTGAAATGAACAACATAATATGCATTCCCAACATCAGTTAAAGCAATATCCCCCTTGAGATGCCATTTCAGCCTTAATCTTTTAATCAGTACTTCATAGCTCATTCTCTTGTCAAATAATTTGACAATTATGGCAAATTTCCAAGGGGCACGCAACCGCTTATTCTCTTCCTTATTCAGAAGGATTTTTAGACAACTCTCATCATCCGAATCACAATTAAGAGGGATATCCTCATCAGATTCCTATTCATCATCCAATTCCCTGTATTCCACATCATTTACAAACCCTTTTCGGCCACTCTTGGCCGCCTGAATATAAGAAACAGGGGCCTCTGGAGGCTTATTCGCTTCATGTTCCATTGAATCAGCCATGATAGATTCCATCTGAACATCAGGGGATTGTTCATTTGGAGGAATCTCCAAAGAATTTCTCTTTTAATCTTCGTAGAAGGTCGTTTCCCTCATTTGACAATTCTTGCGCGCATCTCTCATTTTCCCTCTCCATTTTAACTTCAAATTTTTTATAGAATCCATCACATAACCAACCTAGTTAAAAGTCTTTATAATACGAAGATCTAGCAATGATTAAATAATGTGAAATTTTTTAGACTTATCACCTTTTGGGCCAAAAAATGTGAAATAACAAAAGAAAAAATAGTAATCTGTGGTTTATACACACGGGTGTACAGTGCTTATCATACACCCGGATAAATAAAAAAAAGGCGGAAAGAACATCCTGTGTTTCATAAAGAACATACATGTATTTGACAAATAACATGGTTGTATTTGACAAAAACATGCATTACCAAAGAACATAAAGATATAATAAAAAGAACGAGATAAAAGCTTGATAAAATTTTCTGAAAAATTACACATTATTAACGGGAAAAATTTAGAAGTGATAAATAATCGAGTAGGGCCGGGCCATATCATAATTTCTCGTGCTCAAACCCGTAGAAAAGTAGCGGGTTTTCGGGCTTTTTTCGAACCCGGATCGAGTTTTAACTAAAAATGCATTTTTAGGTTTGCCCAAACCCACCCTATTTCGGGCCGGATCGGGTCGGGATGTGAGTCATGCCAATGTTGATCACCTCTTAAAAAATCCTTACCAAAGATATCATTTCCCCAAAAAATAGTTTTCTATCTCTCCAAAAAAAAATTCAACTTCCCATAATAATTTAGTTTTTTTTACTCTAACATTATTTTCAATTAAAAATAATTTAAGATTTCAATATCAAATTTCAAAATACCAAATGTTAAAAAGAACATAATTTATATTGTAAAGTACATATAGTTAATACCTAAATAACACACTAATCAAACTCAAAGAATGTGCGATAATAAAAGTAATTTAAATATGACATGATAATAAAAAATAGAATTTGGGCGTCACTACGACCTTAAAGAACATACACGCCAAATTCAAATAACATACTTTGTATTATTAAACCCAAAAAAAATATGTTTATCAACATATGTTAAATAACATAAGTTATAATGTAAAGAACATATAATTTTACTCAAAGAACACACTGATCACACTCAAATAACATATTAAAGATATGTTCTTTGTCAAACATAGATATATTCTTTATCAAACACTATATGTTCTTTCCGCCTTTTTTTGTTTACCCGGGTGCACCATGAGCATGGTGCACCCGGGTGTATTATCTAATTTTCAAAAAATAGCTGCTTGATGATAACCTCCATCTATATACTCTAAAACAACTGACAATAATTCAAAAGAAACATATGACTTCTTTTTCACTTTCCTATTTAGGTTCATCACCAATTATTCTCTTACCATTTCCTTTCTTACCTTCACCAACATCTTCTTAAGGTTCATTAACATCATCTAAACCTAAAAAAGTCCTACACTCTGCCTTCAATAATTCATCCGGATTCGAGCCTTTCTTCATTTTAGAAACACGTTGGACATGTTTATTAGTATAAGGAATACCTAACACATCAGTTATATCATCACTATCTATATGTATAAGGTATTCTTTTTTACCAACAAGTAACACTCTAGACTTAGGATTAAATTGGATTACAAAATACTTGTACAAAAGTCTTATAATATTCTCTTGAAAGCTAAGATCCAACAAACCACCAAATTATATCTCTTTAACAGCTTTCTTCTGCTCTTCACTGATTATTTCAATAACTTGATAAACTTTTAAAGAATTAGATTTAGTACCAACAGTACAAGAGCTGAAAAAAAAATTTAATAGTAAGATATAAAGTGACTTGAACAATGTATTATTAGAGAAAGATAAAATCAAACTATGAAAACCTATAACCAAACAATAACAATATTAAACCAGACTATTAAAACCTAAAACAAAACAATCACAATTTTAAACTTGACTATGAAAACATATAAACAAACAAATATAGTTTTAAACCTGACTATCAAAACTTATAACTAAACAAACATAATTTTAAACCCGACTATCAACCTATAATAAAAATAATAATAATTTTAGACCTGGTTATTTTAACCTAAAACCAAACAATCATAATTTTAAAACTCATTATGAAAATATATAATCAAACAATCATAATTTAAACTTGACTACCAAAACCTATGACCAAACAATAATAATTTAAACCTGACTATCATAACCTAAAACCAAACAATCATAATTTTAAACCTGACTATGGAAACAAAAACTCAAACAAACACAAATTTAAACCTGATCATTGAAACCTATAACCAAACTATAATAATTTTATACCTGACTATCAGAACATATAAGACCAAGAAAAAATAATTTAGAATCTAACTATACTAATAAAAAAAATTAAAACAACACAATGTCACAGAAGTATCGTAATATCTGACTATAATAATCAAACAAAAGCAATTTAATATAATGACTAATAGTACTATTCTATTTTCAAAAAAAAAATAATACGAAGTATAAAACCCTAACATAACTAACACATTAACGAAAAAAATAATATAAAACCCTAACAAAATTGGTCTATAACTTGAAAAAAAAAGTTTAATATCAAATAGTGTATTGTGCACAAATATCTACATAGAAAAAAAAAATATCACATTGCTCTTTATACAAAGTAATAAACAAAAAAGTGTTTACCTAAAAAATTAAGTATCTTCAACTACAACTTTCCCCGTTAACAAGGAGGTATCTTCGAGGGAACTTCTGAAATTTGGCTGTAAACGGATTTAAGTAAAAAACAAACATTCAAAAAAAGGATTTATAAACATTGAATAAGTGAAGACGAAAGAAAATTGTATAAAACGAATTAAAATACTTGTCAGCCATATATAATTGCAACTCCTTTTTTTTTAAAGAATTTTCGCTTTTTATGATTTTTAGGATAAACTTTCACATGTACGAAATCTTATAATTTTGGGTTTAAATCAACAGAGATTGAGAAAATAGAGTAAATGGAGTGATGGAGAAAATAGTGGGATAGTTGGAAAAAAACCTCAAAATAATAAAGTCGCTTTGAGTAACAAGAAGAAGAGTTTGAGAATTATATGATCGTGCCGCGATCGGGCTGCTCACGTATTTTTAAATGAAACCGCAAACGACCCATAGAATATAATTGACCCATACAAAAGAACGGACTTAGCATGAGTCTGTTATACACAAAATATTTCGTTTTACATAATATACATTAGTAACCAAAAGACATTATATACCCTTGTGATTTTATTTTTTTATTTTTTAAAAATGAACTAAAAGGTATGGGGAGAAAGTAGCATTACATTTTATATATTAGGCATATTATAAGTCATTAGTTTTTACTAGGGGTGTTAATTTGGGCAAATGTTTTGATTTCAAGTTGGATTTAGATTGGACAAGTTATTGGTTGTCAATGGTTTCGATACAACAGGTTATTGATTAAATGATTTTGATACAACGAAAACACAACACAATTTATTACGTAGTAGGTTGAAATTCGGCAATGTCCAAAACAACACATGGACGTAGGCAAGAAAACAATAAATTATGTATATTAGGTAATGACAAAAACATATACAAGTTAATGTTTTACACACAAACAAATCACAAAAATTAATCTAATGTTTTGCATATCAAAACATGCGATCCTCTTCCATTTTCTCTTTTCTCTCTTCTTCAATTATTTGCCTCTTCTATTCTCTTTTATTCATAATAATCCATTATTCATATCGAGGTTTTAGATCTGTGTATTTAACATATACTAATCACTTCTCTAATTTGCACAAAACACGTATAATCTCATCTCTAATTTTCGAACCCCGTTTTCGAATAAAACATACTAATCATTGAAGCAATTGGATTAATGAAAATTTATAATCAACATATATAATGAACGAATTCATGATCGATTTGGTGAACAAATTAGAATAGAGAATGATCATGGCCAGTTATTAAGATCCAAGGCTCAAGGAAAAAGAGGAACAAATTTTGAATTTTAATTTTTCGATTTTAATTTTATATATCGATAATATTAAAATTAGATTTTTGAAAGTTAATTATTAAATTATAATAAAGAACATTTTCTAGAATAAAAAATTTATTGAAATCAATAATTGAATTTTAAAATAAAATTAAAAAATAGTTTTAATTAATTTTAAGATAAAAAAGAAATCAAAAAGAAACATCATGTCATAAAATTCATCCAATGGAAACGCACCTTGTATGCATGCTATGGAATCATTTGTTCTTTATAGGTTTCTAATAATGCTTTCTCTTTTTATTAAAAAAATTCTCCCACAAAGAAAGAGTTTTCAATCTATTTCGAAAGACAAGGGTTTTTCGCCCCCTTCAAAAGACAATGTTTATCTCCACTTTTTGAGGGAGAAATTCTTATATTACTTATAAATCTATGATTGTAGATCTAATGAGTTGTTGTGAGATTATTAAGATCTCCAATTTTCAAATACAATCAGATGAATAAGATGGAAAACTATCATCACAGCTACAAATCTAAGATTGTATTTTTCAACGATAGAAGCGGGAGATACTGCACAATGTAAGACCTGCCCGACAATAATAGTTTTTATAAAGGAATTATCTCCTTTCTAGATGTCGTATGACAATTTATTAATCAAATAATTTTAGAAAAATTTGTCAAAAATACAACATTTTAGTGATTCGCCAAAAACAAGTCAACCTTTCAATTATTTCTAAGTAATACAACCTTAATCCGCTTTAAACAAGTTTTTACCGATTGGTAACCTGGTTAACAGGTTATATGACATGCGTCATTGTTTGATTGGTTTGATTTTTTTTTTTTTGTACTACTTTTTAAATTTATTTAATGTTTGAAATTTTTAAAAGATTTAAAATAATATTATTCCATCCTTTGTTTTATTTAGTTGACACCATTTGACTTTACATTATTCA